GCAACATAGTTTCGCAAATTTCATAACTTTTAGGTTTTTCCATACAATTTTTCGTTTTTTTGTTTTTGCTGCCAATCGAAAAACAAACGAGCCGAGAAATTCAAGTATTTGCATTTTGAATGTTTTATTTATTGCCCTTTCACCCCTAAGAGTTGTTTGAAATTCATTAAAATTCTAAAACAGATGAGCAGAAAAAAACAAAAATCACTAAGCAAATATGAACTGAAAATTGTAGAAAATTTTTCGAAATTTTCAGGTCGCATTGGTTGTCTTTTGTTTTGCATTTGCCTCTTTTCAGGGTAGTATTGTTATTGATAAAAGTAGAGCAAAAAGAAAGTAAGCCTCCGTTACGTTGTTGATGTCGACAGTTTTCATATTTGTAATATTTGCATAAAAGTGCAAATATGTCGGCACATGTGGACACAGCTCACCAGAAACATTTGGTTTATACCGACATTTTGTTTATTTATTTATTTTCTGTTGAAAAATGAAGAATCAAACTAAAGGAAACCTACTTCATTAAGAGCAGATAGTATTGCTTAATATTTATCCGTAAGGCCTTTGTCTAGTGCAGGACGTAACATAGCTTGTAGATGTGTATATCAACATATGATAACAAAGTCTGCGTATGCCATAGAGAGCAACATTTAATGTATTAATAGGCTAGACGTAACAGTATAATGGGAATATTGCTACACAAATTTGCTTATTGACACGTTTCAAAGTTTGGAAATTTTACGTGTCGTGAGTGTGAGAAAAGCCTAAAATTTAGTTAATCCATCCTACTCGAAACATAATGACATCCTGTGCAAAATTTTTGGGGTTATAAACTGCAACTAAGTAAAGAAACTAAAACTACGTCCTGCATAAAGATTTGAGACAAATTTGAGACAATAATCATTATACATCAGAAGACGAAAGATACTTCCTAAATGTGCGTTGTCGTATATTGAAAGTCTCAGTAGTGGACACTCTAATGCAACCTGAACGTTCAACATACCGCCATTCCCACCAGTACATTTACCTTAGTCTAAAACATGTCAAAAATTTGGAGCCAACAAATGTTATCGGAAGTGTAGTTTTGAAAGTGTAATTGTAATGAAGTATGCACAATAGAAGAAGGAAATCACAACAAAGTTGAACTTACAAAATTTACTGTAGTAAAGACGCATATAGACGTGAATCTCGGACTTTTCTAATAAAATTGACAGACTATGAAAAACAGGATTGTAAACTTAATTTGCATATTGTAGACAAAGTTCTGAGATCGAAATCTTGATATCAAAAGACTTCGGCAATTTTGTTATTTCTTTCTTAGTCAAAGCGTTGCCCACATATGGTCGGTGAATATATGGTGAATATAAGGATTCTCCTCACAGAGAAGCTTAAGAGGATCAGTTAAAGGGCTACCGGATATCCAAGTGAGATAGGAATCGTGACTACCAAGTCGGTATTCGGGTTTCCAGCTACGATCAGCGTTCAGCGCACAGCCGGCACGCACCGATTGACACACACATTCAATATGCTCGTCTCCCTCTCCCTATCTCCTTCGCCATTTTCCACTTCTTTTCATTGACTAATTGATCAAATCAAAAAAAAAAAAAAAAATTTATTCGCTTGAAGCGATGAGTTTCTATACCGGGTACCTTGAAAGCGAAGTATTGCAGATTTCATTGGGCAATCGGGTTTATCATTAAGCTCAGCTTTCAGATAGCTCAGTAATATGTTTATATCATCTTTTTGATTTATATATGCTAGGACACATACACATCAATGTTAAGATCAACGTTCGCTTTGCGTTGTAATGTAAAGCGTTTTGCCTACTGGCCATATTTTGGCCGCTTTTAAACTTGGCCTCTATCCTCTTAGTAAGAGTACTTATGTCAATTTCAACTTTTGCCCATTTTCTATGCACATATGAAAGGAAATATGGTCGTTTGGCATTTGAATCATATCATCGTGCCGTATAAATGCATTTTTATGGGTAAATTTCCAGTTTTCTAAAATTTCATGGATTTCAACAAAACGCCATATATAAGAATTATTATGGTTGAGTTTTTGTTTTAACATCTTTCCAACTTAACGTACGGCATAAACGAAAACACACTTGCGTATATATCTTCAGGGGCTAGCATGTGCACATATGCAAATATATTTGAGCGTGGGAATATTTGAATTTAAAATAAGTTTATAAAGTTTAAGTTAACCTTGAGCCGAATTTCGCAATCCCATCAGTAGGGAAAATTAATTTTCTTCAGTTATAGAGTGAATATTTAAACTTCACACTTGGATTCTATATATTTTTGACCTACTATTATTATAAGCGAGTCATGGAGGAGTCTTCAGAATTGAAATTAGTCACGAAATTATTGGCGTTGCGATCTGCTTAAAGATGAAGAATAGTTGAGAGGGCTCAAGTTGGGAGAGATTTAAAAAGAATAACTAATTCAGAATATCCTCATTTTTTTGGTAAAGAGTATAAAAAGACTAATTTTCCCCTGTCGGTTTTGGTTTTTTAGCTATGCTTGACTTTTAAGCGTATGTAAATGCGCCTGACTGTAGATTTATATAAATCTTCTCACTACGTTTTAATAAAACGAATATTAAAGTTAGGCACGATTGTATTCAATAAAATATCCTTTGCAGAATAGAAGAGCAAAAAAAAAAACAACAACAACAAAAATAGAGAAAGTTGAAATACGTTTAGGGTTAAAAAAGATTAACATAAATATTTTTTATTGTTTCGAGACCTTCGGTTGGCTATGAAAGCAATATATTACGATAGTATAAGGCTCTCGTTCATAGTGCGTTTTAAGATTTAATCCGGAATAAATTACTGAAAGCGTTGTAAAGATGTGAATAAAAAAAAGGAAAAACGATAATAGACCCTTCGACTATTTATTTACCTTGCAAAAATTGATTTACATCACGCTATGCTTTTCATTGAAAATGTAATTACAATTTATTTTAGTCTTGTTTAAGTTTTCATTGATATACCCTTTACGTTTATCCCCTCTATAAGAATAAGTTCACTTTGACAAAGCGTTTCCAACATCGAGAAGGGAGGTGCAGAAACACCACAACGTTCTTCTTGATCAACATCAAATTCACATCTCTGTCCGCCTGTCCCTTTACGCATCTTTGTATTGTGTGCGATACATATTCCCTTCAACGCAACTCATAACACATTGGTTTTAAGTTTATCTCGTATACCATGACGAGTACAACGAAAAAAAATTTTCAATTATTTTTCTGAGTGGAATTCTACAGTACTTGCGTAAGAATTGAAAAATCGGCCAATCCAACGACTATGGGTATACAAGTCTCGGTCGCAGTTGAACATAATTTTCTTACTTGAATTGATTTAATTTTAAAATCCAGAGTGACCTTATTTCTCTTTAAACAGTAATAAGAAATTAAATTTACAAATCTTAACCTTGATTAGCGCTTAGTTGGCGTATGATTTTTAAAAGTAGATTTCTCTCAAACAATATAGAATAATGGCCTTGAATTATTGAAAAGGCAAAATGTACAATGACGGCACAAGCTAATGAAAAAATGCAGCCGCTTTGGGAAATTGTGCCTGAGTTGGATAAAACTCGCCGTATTCAAGTTCATTAAACGCCAAATTCTTGAAAATGTAAGATATGGTGTGTGGGTTACGTTTCCGTTTACCTATTAAGCAACGTTAATATGATCGAAAATCTGTTTGTGTCAATGAATATTACACTAGTACCCAACAGTGGTTCTACTTTTTAAAGTACGCAACTGTCAAGATATGTTTATAACATTTTTAACAACATTGTTTGTTATTTTCATTATCTATTTTTTCAAAATAAAAATGAAAGGGCCGATACGTAGATGTCGTCTTTAAGAAAAAATCACTGTTCCTGTTAGTAGATGCAAGATATTTCACATCCTAAAGATGTCAAAATGCACTATAAGCACTATTTAGGCAAAAAATTTGGGAGGAGAAGGCTGCTTGTGGTAGAGTCAGTGGCGATGACACAATACCAAAATTGCTTGAATCGAACTGTGAATTGCTCCTATACCCGTCTTTTCCATATCTTGCTACTAGCGATCACTATCTGCTTGCATATGTTAAAAGAATGCAGCGGAAAATATTTGGATCAACCAGTGACGTCGTTGCGGGAACTTAAGCACATTTTGAAACTTTTTTGTATAAAAAAGGTTTTGAAATACTAAAGAAGTGTTGGAATGATTGTAATACAATTGTAGTACAATTGTAAGAAAATATATTGATGAATAAAATCGGATTCGGTCCTTTTGTCTTACTTAGTATAGGAAATTTTCGACCGATCTACAATCTTTTCACGATTCTCGGCCTTTGAAATAGGAAATATACACAAAATGGAATCGAAAACTTGTTAGCTTCGCATAAATATAGTCAATTGTATGAATTTTTTCTTATAATCTTAGTCCGATGATATGGTTTATATATCTGAATCAATTTTGTTTGTCTCGAAAATAACCTATTATGAGAAAAACAACAGTGGCTTTGAAAATATAAAAAAATATGCAATTCTTGAACCAGTTTCATGAGAACAATGAAGTGCACCTGCTGTGAGTATCTCGCGGTTCGGGTGTCGTATCAGCAATTTTTTTACGACTAATTATATCATATATTCGCCCCAAAGGGCTGCTCCGGTTGTTGGTTCTCTTATCTTCCCACATTACTCTTTTCAACAAAATCCGTAAAGTAAGGCAAACAAAATTTAATTTATTTTCAATAATTCGCATACACATTACTACGTTATTTCGTCACTCATACGCTGTGTAAGCTGCAAAAAAAAATAGTTTAGTGTTGAATAAATAAATGCCCGCCTTTGCTATATGCAGAGAAACAACTCTATGAACTCAATCTCACTTATATATGTATGCGCGCGTGTGTATGTGTGCGTGTGTGTGTGTGTGTGACTTTCACATATAAATTTCATTTTATTATTTTATTAATACTCGGAAAAAGTAAACAGAATTACCATAAATAATGAAATCGCACAATATTGAATCAAATCCAAAAATTACAGGCAAAAGCAATCTCACTCAACTGCTTATAATCGTTTAATAGCAATGAAGAAAATAAAAAAAATAAAAGAACGCTTTACGTACTTATAACTAGCACATTGATAACGCTTTTTCATATTTTTCGTTTTTTTTTTTTTGTTTTTTTCACTTTATACTTTTTATTATTTCATTATGCATTGCAAGCACGTATACGTAATGTTTATAAACCATAACTCGCGCGGATATGCGTAATGTTTGAAAATAAAAATATAACGAGTTATTATAATTTTTTTTTGTTTTTCCAATAGTCTGTGTTAACATAAAAATGCATCCACTGCCGTATTTAAACTATAGATTTTTGCCCTTTGTAACCCCTGATAAATTGAATGCATTGTTTTGTGCACGCACGACGCATATCCTTTTGCAACTTCCGTTCCGTTACACACTTTTTTTTTAAAGTATTTTAAACGTTATCCAGCTATTGTTGTTTCTGTTTAAAGAGCTGCGGGTGTTTATTTTACAATAAACTAACATTATTCTTTGTTAGCGTATAGATGTATGCATGTATGACCATGAAATCATACGTAATAAATGCAATAATTATAAAGAATTTCTTATCACTTCATTTCTCTTCATTTATTTATTTTTCTTGTATTTTTAATTAAAAATTTTTTATTATTAAAAAAAACAAAAACTTTTAATTAATTATCATTATTATTAAAATAATTTGTTTTTATATTGTTGGCATAAATGTTTTATAAGAAAAATAATATACGCGCTTTAACTCCCGTTAAGTCGATGTTGTCGATGTTAACGCCTTGAATTGCCGCTGAGAACTAACATTTGCGCGTCTCAACATAACCTTTGCGTTCTATTGCCTTGCAACAAATGTCAAATAATATTTCCCTTGTGTGTTGTGTGAAATTAGTACAATTCTTTTATTCCTTTTTTATTTTCCATGTGTAACGGTTGATATAATTGAAATAACATAGCATCCACTACGTAGCTGTAGGCTATGCGATAAGAAGTTTTCCTATAGAAACTGTCGCCTCATTAATTAATAGGTCAAATCTGTAGATGATGTTACACTTCTCACAATGATAAAATTTGTTGAGTAATTTGGCAACAAAACGTGTTGCCAAAAACATTTGTTTGCTTCGCCGTGGCCTCATGATGATGATATGTATATATTGGCTTTCTTTCAACATCTATCAATGACATTTTATGTTAGAAACATTTTGTAGATTCTGTTGATAAGAACTTTGGGAATAAATTTTTTTTTTTATGGATTCTATTGTGGAACATTACGTTCGATAATTATGTTGCTTACATTTAACATGAACATTGTTGGATTCTGTTTTTATAAGGGAAAATTTTCACATACATTAAACAACACAAAGTTGTTGTTCTTTTTTACGACACATTTTTTTCGTTAAACGTCTGTTATTTATTTATTTATTTATTTTTTTTTTGTACCGTATCGTAGGAGTTGAATGCACTTTATCGAAGAACTACTCGATGATGATAAACTTACAAATTATATAATGGAAAAAGCATGGATAAGTTTTATAAAAACTAAGAAAAAATATCTTCTCATACCTGTGACTATTTTATATTAAATTATGGCGCTATATATATGTACATGGGCGATAATAAATAATATAACAAACAAATGGAAATTATTACTTCTTTACTATATTTAAAACACTGATACACCATAAGTTACCATAACGTACACTCCATTAAGTACAGTAAGCGTACACAGCGTACATATGTAAATACGTCACCCTTTCGTTTAGCATGGAGAGGAGAAGTTTTCAGCCTAAATGACAACAAACGAGCTCTAATATATTCAAGAAAGCCAATAAGTAGACGAGAATGCAATTTGGATTGCACAAGATGTTGCTATAAAAGATGACACGGAGCAATCGAAATGTTACGCTTAAAAATGAATTCCACTTACAATTAGGCTGACAAGCAAATGTTCACAACTACTCAAGCTCACTAATTTTTCCCATCTTTGTCTACATACGATAAGCTGTTATTCTTAGTATATGCATAACTAATCCGTGTGTTATGCCCTGTTACCGTTTAATCGATCCATATCATCACATATATTTTTCTTTCCAATTACATCCCGTCCAAGAGGAAACTCTGGGTGACAGAAACTGCTAGTCCACTACCCATAGAAATCTCTTAGTGGAGTTGAAGATATCCAGACCATTTACAAGGGAAAAGATAGACAAAGCTTTACTTTCAAAAGAAAACTTTTGCACGAAAGGAAACCTTACTTTATAATATTCTTCGACAAAAATTGGTGAGAACCAGTAAAAGTATTTTCCTATAATAAGCAAAGGAGGAAATCTGGATGAGATGCGCTCATTTTCGTAATCAAGTTCCTTGTAAAACTATTTTTGATCAGTTGAGGTTTTAGGAGTTCATGATAAAAATTGGTAGATGGAAGTGATGGGGTATATAAATTTACAGTGGTGAGCTACATAGATCTATATTTCAGGCTGCTCCCCATATAAATATGGTCAGACAAAGTAATTTTTGGTATTTTAAGATTAAAATTTGTGCAGACTATAATGCGAAATAGTGTTTGATACGCCTTTGTCTGTGTATAGTTTTAGTTGTCTTTTTTTATAAACTTTAAAAAAGGACTAAAAAATTTAATGGAGACATCGTCAAACGTATGTACTCGCGATGTGCGTATCTATAGGTTGTCCCGTTCCCAACCCAAAATCCGAAAATTAATATCATCTACGAAAAATTTTAATTTTTTTTTAATAGGTCTGCATATATAAGATATTTTTTAGATGCATCGTTTTTTATTCGATACTACATATGCATGATTAATCGGTGTAAAAAGAAACATCCGTTCGTATTTTGCATCGCGTACGTAACTATTTTGGAAAAGAATATTCACCTACAACTACCTAACTTACCTAACACTTTTTCGTCAGCTGCTAAAGTTCGCTGTAAAGTTATTTACGGAACATCCCCTTCTTGCCCTACTTGCTGTTCGCATGTATGTTCATTTTAAATTTCACAGGATTTATTAAAGTCGAAAATTGTTCTCTTTTCAATTTAATTTAATTTAATTTCATCCTAGAGCCTTCCACTAGGATGACCTTCTATCCCTATTCGGAATATCTCTTAATTGGAAAAAAATGTCGTAAAAGCGAAATTATTTTAAATTTCGATTTAAATAATCTATGCTCTATTTTTTACATTGTTCGGTTTTCGCTTATTATGGTTTTTCAAGTCTTTTTTTTTTTTTTTTTTTTTTTTCTAAAACATATTTTCTTTTGCAGTGCAACGTGTAACTATGCAAGTATGCATGGATATGTTTATGTGTGCATACAATTATGATAATTTAAATTCCCTTGACACAGATAAGCATTAAACACATGTTGTTTGTTGTCTATATGCAGATGAATGTGTCTGCGACTGCATAAATACCTGCAAAGGATATAATAAGCGATATATGTGTGAACCGTGTTCTTTAATGATATTAATATTTACATTTATTCGTACATATAAATATTTAATCGTTTGCTTAAGTAATAGAGTTAATGACAATAAGAATCATTCCCTGGAATGAAAATGCAAAGAGTAATGAACCGTAACATATTAGGTTGAGAATGCATGCATGCGTGATAAATAAATAAACGCGTTTTTATTTTTCCATTTCAAACATTAACACATCTTGAAATGGTAGACCTTTTTAACCTTAATATTTATACATATATATATACTGATCTATAAAGATTACAAAGGATTATAATTTCAAAAGTGCATTAGTAGTCGATATCGAATAGAATGATATATACTTACTTATATACATATGTGCGAATATATACACGCAACATGCGTAGTTCAGACTTCAGACGTAGCGGCTTCTATATGTCATCTTCTAAACTTATTGAACTCATTGTGATATATCGTTCGAGTATATTTATTTATATATATATATATATATATATATATAACTTTATTGTTGTGTTCATTGAATATACGCATAGCCGTCATAGATCTTAGACACTCCCTCAACCAATCAACTGGGCGTTAGCTACACTAACTTGTGTGCAGCATTTTGAAAAAAATGGTGTGTAAAAAACGAGCGCGATAGACTTTTTGAGATAATCATTCCATCAGATTTTATAAGGGTAGTGCCATACCAAACATAAAAAAAAAATGCGGGGCAGTTTGTCAGTAGACTTTCAGCAAGTTGATTGATCTGTTTTACTGCAGGATATGTAAAAGCTCATATTACAAACAAAAGCCAGAGACTTCGTGCTCAAAAGGTTAATTTTGTTAGAAATTCTATTTGAACTAAGCGCACCAAGCCTTTATATACAATCCCATAAAAGTGACTCTGTATATAGTTTATTGCAATCGAAGCTTATATAGAGCAATTTTTAAAAACGAATTTGCGCTATACATGAAACCATTCGTTCGATTGATTTGAAACTTATACACAATAATTGCTTTGGGGTCAAAGAAATCTACTACTTTCCATGACCGTGTTAAGCGGATTGTTAAGAAATAGATAAGCTGGCATCCATCGAAGGTAAAGCCTTGCGCGGCATTTCGTCATAATTCAATAGCAGAAAAGTGCCCGAACTATCACTTCACAGATGATATTCTGCCACGTGTTAGGGTGGGCGGCGTTTTTAAATGCGTTTTTAAATGCACAACGATATTGATTGTGTCGCATTGTACTTTCATACAAGTGTATGCAAACTTTCAACATGATACGGACGTAACTGAAATATCGTTTCGTAAATTACATTTAAACAGAAAATGAAATGAAATAGAAGCTTATAAAACAGTTACTTTTAAAAGCGGTTACACAAATATCATGAACATCAATGCGTTTTGCTGTTCTGCGTGTTAATAATATCGATACTTGCAGCGTTTACATCAGAGTAAACGCCTAACAACCAGTAACGGTTGCTAATGGCACGCAATTAGCTTATAACAAGCAATGTTCATTTTGGGCTAGGTAGAGTTGAACGGCATTCATAACAATTCAGCATTGCATTTATGTGTTTGAGTCACACAAACAGTTATCGTATTACAAGTTAGAGGCCAATATTCGGGTTGTAGCATGCAGAGAAAACACCATTACTTTAAAATAAATATGAAACATGTAAAATATAATAAAATATTGCAGAATAAAATATTTAAAGTGGAACAGTCAGCAAATATTGTGTTTTCATGTGACAGATGACGTAGTCAAACCATGCGAAAGAGTAGCGGAAACTTTTAATTAAGTGCACTCACACAACATTTGCTATTTGATTTAGAATTGATTGTAGATTTAATAAAAGTTTTTGGATATGTTGAAATGTTTTATCTTCCAAGTTGACAAGGACAGCTTGAAAATTCAAAAATCAAAACTTATGCTCTGCTCGCATTGGCAAGGCACTAAGTCACAAAACTCTAATGATAATTGTTAGAGATGTTTTTTAGCTCTGTTTTGTAATCTCTTTTTTCACCTTTTCTATACCATACTTTTTATAAGGAACGCACACAATCGTAATTTTTCTTAAAGCAATTGTATTGCAACATCAACATATGCTTATTGTTTGAATTTAATAAAACGTGAATTACTTT